TTTTAAGGGGTCATGTGCTGGGGGGAGCAATTCCCTTCTCCGGCCCTGGCAGGCTGGGGTGCAGCTCTCTGCTCTGGATCTGGGGTGCCGGCGGTGTCTGGATCCGTGAGAGGGGGTTGTGGGCAGGAACTGGGGAAACTGGGAGCCCGGAGCGTCCCAGGCTGGTGCAGACCCCGGGCCGGCCCTGGGGATGCCACCACCGCTATTGTCACCTGCGGGGTGACACCGCGGCCCTCCGCCATCCCTGCGGGGACTGTCACCCTCCCCTGGCAGCCAGCAGGACCTGCCACCTCCGAGCTCACCCGGCTGGTGCTTCCCAGCGCCGAACCTCCCGCTGTCGCTGGGCGCTGGATCCCAGCTGGAATTCTGCTCTGTCCCCACCGAGGGGGCGATGCCCGCTCCCTGTGCCCGAGCCCTGCAGGGATCTTCCCGTTGCTAAGCAGCTCCTGAGGATGGGCAGCACCAGCGGGTGGGCTCAGGGTGTGCCCAGACCTCACCTGGATCTGCCCCTCCGGCAGCCCCGGGTGAGTGGGATACACCCAGGAGCTGTTAATTTATTTAATATTTATCTTTTATTTATTTATTATTTTTTTTTTGCCATTGTCTTTAATCAAGAGGAGTAAATCCTTGTGACAGCATCCTAACAGCGTTCGGTTGGGAAGGGAGCTGCTGGAGGAAATGTCAACGTGCTGCTTAAATAAAATTGACTGAGCTGCTGCTCAGCTGCCTTGGGATGCAGCTTTGTCTGGAGGATGACGGGGAGCTGGGAATTCAGGGGGAGTGGAATAAAGGCAGCTCCCAGCACCTTGTGGGAATTTAAAGGCAGCTGTGGCACAAGCCAAGCCAAAAGGAATTGGTGTTCCCAAAGACTCCCAGCGGCTGTGGTGTGGATTTACCTGGAGGACATCGCTTTGCTTTTCCTGCCTCTGTCACTGTCACCTGTGGGCTGTGGCTGTCACACTGAGCTTTAATTTACTAATTAGTACCACACTGACCCGGGAAGTTGTGGGGCAGCAAGGAGAAGGGCTGAAGGATGTGGCGACCCCAGGGCTGGCTCTGGGTCTTTCCCAAAAGCTGCATTCCCAGGGCCCCTCAGCCTCCGTGGGGCGGCCAGGGGTCTGATCCCACCCCATGGCTGTCGGAGGATTTGGGAACACGGAGCTGTGACACCTGGGGCTCCCTCTGGGATTGTCCTGTCCCAGCCCAGGTGTCCGGGAGGAGCTCCAGCCCGGGCAGCTCCCAGCCAGCCGAGCTCTCCCTCCCTCCTTCTGCTCCTCAAGGCGAGCTGGGGCCGTGGGCTGCTCCCCGAGCACCATCCATCGGGCAGCTTGCCCAGTTTTTCCCGAACTTCCTAAAACCATTCGCACGTGGGACGAGAGAAATGACGGAATAGCGGGATTTGAGGGAGTTTGGGCGTGTGGGACCCGACGGGGCTGGGCTGCCCTGCTGCCCCTCCCTGTGCCTGATCATCTTGCAGCGTTGCACGGCTGCTCCCGCAGATGTTTTGGGGGACATTTCCCCTTTTTTTCCCCCCTCTGCAGGCAAATCCAGCGGTACCAAATCCCGCCTGGAGCCAGAGGACAGTGAGGACTGCCTTGAACATGTTCCATAGGGAATGGTGCGGGATGTGCGTGGGAAAACTCCTTTTCCTGGGAAAGGACAAGCCTGGATGTTTGGAGATGCTCAGGGCACATCTGGATGTGGGGTGTGGTGTCCGTGCCAGGTGTTTGGGTGGGATTTGGAATTCCCTGTGGTTTGCAGCCCTTCCTGGGTGCCTGGGTGGAGCAGGGCAGGATGTGGTCCTGATGGACTTGGGAAATGGCTGGAAATGCCCCCGGGAGCTGGGAGAGGTTTCCAGCCAAACTCGGTGTTTTGGGATGTGTGCCCTGGGTGGTGAGGAGACAATTCCACCCTGGCTCATCGCAGCTTTGGCATTTGTTCCTCACACTGCTCATCTGGGGAGGGTCTCAGTGAGTCCTTGTCACCCCAAAATGAGCCCCACCAGGCAATTCCATCCTCATCCCCTACTTTTCCATCCCCAGCTCCAGCTGTGGAGCGTAAACCTTCTCCGGTGCCAACATGCAAACCCCACCATCCCAACAGAGGATCAGCTTGGATCCATTCCACTTCCAAACCTCCTGCTTGGTGGTGACACCCAAAAATCTCCTGCCTGGCTCTGGAGCAGCAGCTTGGGTTGGTTGTTTGGGGTCTGGCTGCTGCCGCTGCTCCGTGCTCCAGGTGAGTGGATGATCCCCAAAATCTGCCTTTTTCCACCCAGATTAATCGCATCAGGCTTTGTCAATGGAAAAATTACCTCATCATTGGCACTGGCAGGTGGTGAGAGCAGCAGACTTATTCAATATTTAAGAAAGCTGCATTGCAGAGCTCAGGAGGCTGGAGGGAGAAATAGGTTGCCTGTGTCAGTGTCTGCTGCTGGAGACAATCTCTGCAGGCATCGGCTGGCAATGCTGGAAAAACCTCACCCTTGCCCCAGGAGCCCAGAAAAGAGGGAATTTTCTCTCTTCTCCTCTGGTTTGGCATTCCCAGGGGTGCGTGAGGGCAGCGCTGTGTGCTGGGCTCTCTCTGCAGGTGTTCAGCTGAGGGTGGCTCTGGGCCCCATGGCGGGATGGGCTCATTCCATGGGGATCCTGCTGCCTTTCCAAGCCTCCCACGGCTGCTGGAGGCCGAACGGGACCTGCCAGCTCCTGACACCGCACCTGCCGGATTTTGGGTGCTGGAGGTGGGCCCGCGAGGCGGCGGCTCCTGGCGCCAATCGCTCTGGGAGAGGGATCCACGGGAGGCCTTCAATCCCGCTTTATTAAAGCATGACCAGATCCACGGGCTCCGTCACACAGGAGTAATGGAGCGGCGTGATTGGAGTCATGTGGCCCTTCCTTAAGGCCAGAAATTAAGACCTCACTGCTATTCCTGGCTCTGCCCGGGACGCGCCGCCTTGGCGCCAGCGGGAGCTGCCGGCATCCGTCAGAAAACCTCGGGATGAGACAGCTCCTCACATCCCCACCGACACCAGGGCGGCAGATCCGAGACCCTCCGGGGTCAGCCAAACCCTGGAAGGTCTTGGCACCCTCCTAGGTTGGGATATTTCCATTTCATTAAGGAAATGCTGCTGCCTCCCATCGATCCCCGCTTGGACGGCCACATCCTGGTGCTCGGGAGCCAGGGTTTGGCAGGGGTGGGGAAAAACCACCTGAGCCGTCATTTCGTTCTTCCCCGTGCGCTAAAAATGCCGGAGGAAGCATTAGGGCAAGCGGGGGTAGTTGCTGGAAGTAATGCAAAGTAGATTTTCCAAATCTATTATTTATAGGCGGAGAAAGGGATTGTGTATTCCTTCAGGAACCGGCCCCGGGCTCCGCTCCACCCGCAGCAAAGCGGAACGCTCGCGGCCTCGCTGCTCTCAGCGGAAAGTTCCAGTCGGGGAAAAGAGTTTTCCTTCCTGATCCCTCCCCATTGGGAAAACCAGGGATTTTCCCCTCTTTTCCCCAGCTGCAGGGTTGGGGTGGACATTCCTGCCCCGTGTGACCTTGGGAGGGTCCCTTATCCACCTGCCTCTCCCCAAAAACGGGTGGTGGCATCGTGGTGCCGCCCGCGCTCCCTGTCCCATCTGCGCCCACCCCGGGACCCCCGGGCGGTGCCGGGACGCTTCATTCCCAGCGGGAATTCGCTGCTGCAGTGCGGATTGTGGAGGTGGCGGGGGGGACCTAAATGAACAATTTGCTTCGTTAAGTGACCTTGTTAATCGGAGCCTTCTGGTTTGGCACGGGAACAGGCGCTGTGTGAACCAGCAGAGCACTAATTACCCACGTGCTTCACTTCTCCTGCTTTTCCAAAAATACTTTCTTACATCCCGAAGTTTTCCGTGAAGCCAAGGTGAGACTCAAGGCTCCACTGACTCCTCAGGGAGCGATGAGGAACCCCTGCAATACTGCAGAGCGTTTTCCCCCACCCTTTTTCTTATTTTTTTTTGGAAAGTTGGGTGTTCTTTCCTGGCTTGGAGCTGGTGATTTCAGCGGGGAAGTTTTGCAAGCTCCCGTTTTCCATCATTCCCTCGGTATAATCTCCCCAGTTTCTCTGCTGGAGTTGCTTCGTGCCCTGCCAAGGTGAATTTACCTTGTTTGGGTAGAGCTCTGGTCCTGCTGGGATGCCGGAGTTGGGACCTGGAGGGATGAGGGGAACTGAGAGGTCCCTTCCAAGCAGGGAGGAATCCAAGGCAGCGCCATCCCAGGGCAGCAGGATGGGAAGGTGAATGATCCATGGGCTGGGAGCAGCCTTGCTGTCCGTGGCTCTGCAGAGGGGTTTTTTGTGAATTTTTTAGCTCTGCTGCAGGTAAATCTATCAAATTTGTGGTTTGATGAATGGATCCATCCATCCCCATCCCCCTGCAGTGGGTGGAGGGGCAAAACCCCTCCAGGAAAATGGGAATAAAGGATCAGTCAGGCTGTGGATTTGACACTTGGTATTTTCAGGAGAAGGGTTTGAAGAACCCTTTTGGATGAACCTCTGGGGAGGAGTGGACAGACCCTCCTGATCGAATCCTGGCGCTGTCTTTTCCCTCCTGGATCCACTTGGCAAAAACTTCAGTGGACCAAAGTGAAAACGGAGGTTTATTTTCCAGAGGGAATGTGGTTTGGGAAAGGACAGCGAGGCATGCTGGAATTTGGGGAGAAAGTTTCCTTCTTTGTAGCTGTTTCTCTGGAATGGAGCCCCCTCTTCCCTCCTGGCCCTGAAGCCTCATAATTAATGTGAGGTTGGGGATTCATTAATTACATCCAGGCTGTGCTGCCCTCCTGGGAAGCGACATTCCCGCTCCAAACCCTCTTAATCCCACAAACAAACCCTTTTGTTGTTTTCTCCCTCCAGCCTGGCTGGGAGCTCCTCTTCTTCACCTGGGAGCAAAGCGATTGAAGTCCCTGCTGTGCTGGCTTGGGGACGGTCAGCGGGGCACCGGTGTCCCCAAGCTCATGCCCGGGGTGGCCGGCGATGACCGACGCGGTGCTGGGCGGCTCCTCTGACCGGTGGATGTGCCCCAGTGACAGGACCATGTCCCTCCGAGCCAGGTGAGGCCACAGGGACAGGCTGGGTGGTGGCACCCTGGGGGACACCGGGAATTGGTTTGGGCGCTGTTGGGTGGGGACATTTTGCTGCGTTTGCGCCCCGAGCGAGGCGGTGGGGACAGAGCCGGGGTGTGTGACCTGCTGCTGTCCCTCTGTCCTGGCTCGAGGTGAGGCCACGTCCCCTCTGGAGCACATCTCAGGCTGGGGGCTGGATTTTGTCAGGGTCTGAGGCACAGAGTGTCCCCTTATCCCTGACACCAAGCTCTGACATCCAAGAAAACACCATGGAAACAACTGCTAAACAGAAAAGCTAAAAGGGTGTGTGGATTAGAGAGTTTTCTTAAGTCACTGGGTGAAAAAATTGAAGTTTAGAGTTTAAACTTGTTTAGAGAGCAGAAGACAAGATGGAGGATGTAGGCTGTTGTCTCTTTTCCTTCTTCTTTCTTCTTCATCTTCTTCTGGAAGTTTTTGAGCAACAGGAAGTGATTGGATAAAAAATTCCGCAGTGCAGCACACAGGTGTTGGGTCACTGGGTCAATGAAATATAAAAATAATATAATAAAATATAGAAATATAGAAAATATAGAAATACAGAAAAATAATGTACGTGTCCATTGTTAATTGAGTGAAAATAAGTATAAAGAAAAAGAGACTGCGCAGTTCAGGGCCATTTTGTGCTATTCAAGCCAAACTTTGGCCAAAGCTGGGGTGGGTTGAACTTGTGCAGAAGGTCTGGGGAAGACCTGCCAAGCTTTTGATAATATATATTAATAAACCTGAGAAACAAGAAGCTAATGAGCCTTTTGGATGATCCTTTCTGAAACAAAACTGAGATGAGAGAAACTCCCCTTTGAGGGGGTGTCCCAAAGGGGCTCAGCCCTGAGGAGATCCCACAGTGACAGGTTTGGTGCCTGGAGGTTTGGGGTCGCTCTTTGGGAGCACTGGGGCTCCATGGGGAAGGACCAGGAGTTGGGGACTGTCACCCTGAGGTGGGATGGGCTCTCCTCATCCCTGCTCTCACCTTGTTCCCTCTCTTTCCCTGTGCTTCCCAGCAGTGAGAAGGAGCAGTAAGTATCTCCCTTGCTTTTATTTTCCACTTATTCCTCTTTCCCTGCTGCTCTGACGGTCTGAGAGCAGGAAAAAAAACGGGTTTGGATGCAAAAAAAAAAAATTAAGTTTGGGAAGCATCGCGCAGGGTTTTAATGAACTTAAGGCTCAAGACCGTGTGGGTCTGTTCAATCCAGAGGGGAAAAGAGCCAGGAAAGGTTTTTGGAAGAGCAGGAAGGTGAGGAATGTTTGCCTTCTGCACCCCTGAGTGGCAGACGTTACCCTGTCACCAGGTTAGCGCTGCCTGACGCCCAGGCTGGGAGAGAGGATCTTTGGGAATGGTGTTAGAGGGAAAAACGCTCCCATGCTTGGAGAAATGTTCCCAAAAAAAAAAGCCACCCACTCCTGCGCCACCGCCCCGGTCCCGCGGCTGCCAGGCAAACCTGGTGATCCAGGGAGCCAAAGGAAGAGCGGGAATAATGGGAATATTTCTGAAAAGGAGTTTTCCCTCCGTATGAAACCCCCTGAAAACGGAGAGCGGAGCTGGGAGCCGCGGGTTGGATGGGATCTGGAGGATGGGGAGCTGGGCTGGGTTCGGGGGGTGGGAATGGATCCACGGCTGGATCCCTGTTCCCGCTGTCTCGGCAGGCTCCCGGCGGGATGGGCAGCGCAGCCCGAGCGGCAGCGCAAGGGCGAGGAGCTGACGGATGAGGAGAAGGAAATCATCAACCGGGTGATCGCCCGCGCCGAGAAGATGGAGGAGATGGAGCAGGAGCGCATCGGGTAAGGCGGCGCTGGGGACACCGAGGGACGGGGACGGAGGGACCCCGAGCTGCCGGGGCCGCGGGAGGAGGCTCTGCTTGGCTGCTTTCCTGGGCAGCAGCCTCTGCACTGCGGTGCTTCTCCCGAATGGAGCCTGCGGGGGATCTTTGGGCCTCGGCCAGGAGGAACCTGCGAGCAGGGAGGGAGCGGCTCCGGGTGCCGCTGGCGCTCCGGGGGGCTGGAACCAGGAGTTCTGCTCGCATCCCGGCTTTTTATCAGTCCAAAAGGGATCCTCGGGAACAGCTCAGTGCTTGTCCAGAGCTGAGCCAGAGCACGGAGGAGTTTGGTCCCCGTTCTGGGAATGCGGGTGGAGGAGGGATGGATCCATCCCGGTGGTTAATCCCGCTCTGCAAGGAGCCGTGTGTGAGGCTCAGGAGGGCTGAGGGATGCTCAGAGCTGCTGGGGGGTCCTGGGCTCCCCACAGCCACTGGTGCCTCGTTTTCCACCAGGAGCACTCCTGGTGCCCGTGCAGAGGGTGGGAAGTGCCCGTGTTTCCATGGATGCCGAGGTATCCATCCCATTGCCCTTCTGGGAATGGTTTTCCAGAGGGGATCTTCATAATCCCGTTGGGATCACACCTGTTTCCCTGACGGTTTCTCCTTGCCGAGTTCAAGCACCCACCGCTCCTTTTCTTGTTCCTAGCAGGGAAAACACTCAGGCCCAGGCAGGAGTCACACTCCCCACTGCTCTGGGAAGTGCCAAATTCCCTCTCACAGCTCAGGGACAGTTTGCTGTCCCTCACATATTGGGGTGCAATGCTCTGGCTGCATTTATTTCCTCATTTCTTAGAAATCCTTCCTTAGGAGGATCTGTGAGCATCCTGGGAAGGTTTTGCCTCTCCGGGGGCTGCTCTCCCTGCCCGTGCCCCATGGATGTGCTGCTCCCTCAGAGCCTCTGGGGGCTCATTTTCCATAATTTTCCATCATTTTCCAGCACACAGCACTTCCCTCTCACGGCTTTTTTTGGCAGAAGCCAGGTGAAAGTGGCTCCGAGTGGCCGGGGATTCACAAACCTCTTTCCCTGGCCTTGCCCTTTTGCTTCCCGGTAAGAATTCCCTTCCAACACCATGCTCCTTGGATGAGGCATAAATCATCCTGGGGAGACTTTGTGCAGCTGGCTCCCAACCCTTCCCTTTCTCCTTCTTTGCCGAGCCGGAGGAGGTTTGCTCATCCTCATTCATGAAAAGCCGGGCGGAGGGGCCGGGAGCCGGGAATTGTGGCGGATGTGCAGCCGCAGCTGATCCCCCTCCTGCGTGGAGGCGTAGCGGGAGCCGTGCCAGCCCCTTTGTGTTTGTTGGCTTGCACAACAAGAGCTGTAGGATGTTCAGCCCCGGGAATGTGGGACAGCGGCTGGATCAGCCTCGGACGGAATCATCCGTTCGGGAGCGGCTCGGGCGTTATCCAGGATTGCTCCTTCTGTTACAAAATAATCCGGGTTTGCCAGGCTGGCCTCGGGCAGGGAGGACCTCGGTTGGCCAGGCTGCTTTAGGGAGCTGCTCCTGGAAATCCTGATTTTTTTTCTGGATTTTCTGGGATTTTTCTATTCCTGTAAAGGGAAAAACAAATCCAATAAATCTCACCCAGAGGAGCTGTGGCTGCCCTAATCCCTTGGAAGTGTCCAAGGCTGTGTTGGAGCAGCCTGGGATAGTGGAGGGTGTCCCTGCCCATGGTTTCCAACCTAAACCATTCTATTATTCCATGAAAACACTGCTTTTGGCTAATATAAGGAATAGCTCACACGGGGTGAGATTCCAGAGGGGGAATATGTGGTGAATACTTGGAGTTGCCTCAATAAGTGCTGTTTGAGGGATTCATTTGAGTTTTACACCCCAATCCTTGAGGAATCCTGAATCCCACGGCTGGGGCCGTGGATGAACCTCCTCACGCCTCAAATCCTTCCCAATTTTTTGCCCTCCATCTCTTGCATCCTCCATCCCACCCGCCCCCCGTCTTGGGAACAAATCGATGCCTCTTGTTGAGCTGTTGTTTGTGGAATTGGACTTGGTGTCAAACCCAGCTCAAATTAATCCCGTGAAGGAGTATTTTTAGCTCCGAGGGCGGATGGATCCTGCGGGATACGTGAGCTGGATGCTGATGAGGGCTGGAGGACAGGGACACTTGGTGTTGGGGGGATCTTTTTTTGTCTCGTGGCGCAGAGAAGGGTGAGAGGAGCTGGAATCATCTTGAACATGACACAGCAGGAGCACGTCGGGCCGGAGCTGCCGGACCTCAGAGCTGCAGGACGATCAGGATCATCCTTCGGGATGAGGGGCTGGAAGTTTTAGGGGAAAGGGATGATCCATGTGGGCGAGGATGGATCCATTCTTGTCCTGCCTCGCTCTGTGCTCGGGGGTCTCTGTGACACTCCGGTGTCACAGTGCTGCTATTCCAGCCGCAATCCATGAGGATCCTGTTTTCCAGCTGCCACAGGAGCACCTGCAGGCACTAATTGACTCCGTTCTGCATCTCTAATTGGGGGCCATCAATAACCCAGCCGGGCCTAATGAGTTCCAGCACGCTCCTGGCATTGAGGGAAAGATCTGAAACCATCCCAAGGTAGAAACGGATATTTCCGGAGAGCACGGAGCTGCCTCTCCCAGAGGGGAGGTGACAGCTGGCTCTGCCTGTGTCCCCATGGCTCCCACCTTTGCTCTGAGAGGAGCAGCTCTGGAGCGGGATTGGGTTTTAATTTGGCTGCTCATGGCTGGGATGAGACAGGGATAATGCGGGAGCAGATGGAAGTCCCCGGGGATGAAGTCATTAACCTCGGTGGCAAGGAAACTGTCTGGGGACCACAGCCTGGGATCTTCATCAGCACAACAAATAAAATTCGGGCTCAAGGCAGGGCAGGGAGGTTATGTGAGACAGCCAGGAGTGTCTCCTGGGATGACAATTTCTGGAGGAGATTACTGGGGGACAGCTTGCGCTGCTTGGGATTTTGTGGGGGTTTGGTTGAGATTTTCCCCTCCAAAAAAAAAACAAACCTACCTCCTCTCTGATTTACAAGACTGCAAAAATGACCACCCTGCTGTAGCACATTCTGCAAGTACCTGGAGGAGCATGGAATGGGATACATGGGAAAATTCCGTGGGAGTCTTCCCCCGCGTGGGTGAGGGCCTGGAAAAGCCCCAGTGGCGCTTCACCTTTAGCTCCCTTGGAGGGGAGGAGAATTGCTTCTCATTTCTCATCCCAATTTTAATTATGTTTCCCTTAATCTGGAGCTGGGCTGCTCTTCTTGTCCCTTTTCCACCAGGAAAATGAGCCTTAATTTAATATTCAGCCCTTTAAGGCACGCGATTTCCCCACGGAGACGAGGCCGGGCTTCATTCTGGAGGCTCCTGGTGACCTCCTTTGTGTTTCACTGGAATTTTTTCGCCATGGATGTGGTGTCTGAGCCCATCCCTGCTGCTTTCTGCATGGCACTGAGGAGCACTGATCCTTCCTCGTGGATCAGCTCCTTCTCCCACCCTTTTTGCCGCATTAGAAGTCCTCCCTGCCACGATTTAAAGCCTGTTAAGGACATCCTGGCCATTCGTTTCTGCAGTGCTGATGAATATTTAAGCACAGCAAACTCCTGCTCTGTTGTTAAGTCTCATTTCCTGGGGTCATCAGCACTCCATCCCGGTCACTCTGTCCCTCTTTCCATCCCTCTTCTCCTGCTGAGAGTTCCATGGAATCATTTAGGTTGGAAAAGACCTCTAAAGTCGTGGAGTCCAGCCCTAAACCCAGCTCTGACAAAGCTGATGCTGTCCCCTCCAGGGCTGAACCCAGCCTAAGGTCTCCCCTCATCCCTGTGGGATCCTTTTCCTGCCACAGATCATGGGGAATGTTGGGATGTGCCCCTGAGCCCTTCCCTGCCTGTCCCAGGGCTCTGGAATGCAGCAGGAACACTCAGGGATGTTCCTCAGTGCCCTGGGGCCGTTCACCTTCCCCTTCCAAACCTATTCCTGGGATTGGGCTGATCTCCATCATCAGGGTCCTGTCTCTCTCCCATCAGTGCCTAATCCCTGAACTCCCTGTTTCCCTGGCAGGTGAGGGATGCTCTCCCCATCCCCAGGGCTGTCCCTGAGCCAGCTCCCTGCCACAGGCTCCAGTTACTCCACTCCCAGATCTTTTCCCCCTGTTTTAACAATTGGAAGGACATTTCCTGCTCTTTGAATTCCACCTGGCAGAGGCCAGAGGGGTGGGCAGAGGAAGATGCTGCTGGAGCCGTGGAAGGGAGAGGGATGAGCGGGAGGGTTGGTTATGTGCAATAAAAGTGAGGAGGAAATGATACCCAGTGGAGAGAAAAGCTTTTGGGGAAGGCAGAAATCACATTCCCGGTGAGGGCAGGGCTTCCCTTGGTTATTAATGGGAGGATGGGATGGATTTGGATCTCTGGAGATGCTGGATGAGAGACAAACCTGAGCTTTTTTTTCTCCCAGTTATTGCCTTTATCAGGAGCTTCCCAGCCCAGGGGTTTGGGCACAACCCCCCCTTTTCCAGGGCCAGGTTCACAGCAGGACTTGAAATTGAACTTTCCCTACAGTTCTCTCCCAGCAGCCTTTGAGTCATGGGGGAATAAAAAAAAAAAAAAGAAAAAAGCCTAATTTCTCCCTCTTGAATGGATGTTTTAATTAGGGAATGTACTTGGCTTGCAAGTGGTGCCACAGGTGTGTCCTGGCTGCTGAGCTCTTCCAGTGGTTCAAAAATCCCACTGAAGGAGCAGCTCCTTGTAAATGAGAGCCTGGGAGAGATTTTTGCAGCTAAATAATGAATCTCTTGAAATGCAAAGGCTTTTTCCTCTTTTTTTTTCCAATTTTTTTTTTCCCCCTCCCTTTGATTGTGCCATTTGTTCCAGTTTCTATAATAAGTTTGTTTGGGCTTGCAGATTTCCAACTGGAAGCTGCTTTGCTTGGAGCTCCTGCAGCGCAGCGGGGAGGAATTGCAGAGGATTTGGGGTTTGGCTCCTTATAAAAGAGAGGTTTTTTTCCCCCCAAAAAATGTTCCCCCTCGGTGAGGTGAGGATCACACATTCCATGGGATGTGGGCTGGGGTTAATTCCTTTTAAATAGCACTTGGGGAACAGCCAGAATTGGGGTTTTAATTGGAATTGCTGGCTGGGTGTTGATGGATGCAGCTCTGCTGGAGTCTCTGGGATTTCTGTGTTTGCCACAGGCTCTGGAGCTTGAGAGGGGCCCAGGTGGCTCCAGAGCTGGGTCATTCCCTAGGAAGGAACCACCTGTGGGTGTGAAGGGCAGGGATGGACCACGGCAGCTCTCAAGTAAATCCCAGAGCGGTTTGGGTTGGAAGGACCTCAAATCTCCTCTGATTCCACAGGCAGGGCCACCTTCCACCAGCCCAGCTTGCTCCAAACCCCATCCCACCCCGGAGCAGGGAGTTAGGCTGGCAGTGGGAGAGCACAAAACGCCCCTGCTGTGGTTCAGAGGCTGCCAGCACAAGGATGAGAACCGGCATCGCTGGATCTCCAACCCCACGTCCTCCTGCTGCCGTCAGGAACCCGTGAGCTCTCCCATCTGCTGTCTGCTGACACCAGAGCTGTGACAACAGAGCCTTGTCCCCACTGCTGGCTCTGTCTGGCTCTGCTGCTGCCCACCCAGCCCAGCTTCCAGCCGGGAACAGGCTGCAGGTTCATCTGGAGGTGTCGGGAGGCTCCTCCGCAGCGGCAGCCGGAGCCCAGCGGGATCGGCCCCTGCCCGGGGAGCAGTGGGAGTACCCTGGGCGCCTTTTGGCAGAGCTGATGTGTTAACATGGCTTTGGCTTGGATAATTCATGGAATTAGGGATCCACATCCCTGAGCCTGGCTAGGCTTGGTGGCTTTGAGATGCTCCCGTTGACTGCAGCGAGGCCTTTTTGGGCTGTGATGGGCGGCACATCCTAAAATGCTTTATTTTGGGAAGAAATTCCTCCCTGGGAGAGCGGTGAGGCCCTGACACAGGTTGCTCATCCCTGGAAGTGTCCAAGGCCAGGCTGGAACAGCCTGGTCTAGTGGGAGGTGTCCCTGCCCATGGCAGGGGTGGAACTGGATGATTTTAAGGTTCCTCCAAACCAAAACCGCTCCATGCTCCTATAATTTCCCCTCCTCGTGCTGCTGTTCCTTTATTCAACTTTCCCCCATGGAATTCTGGCCGTCCAACACCAACCCCAGAGTCATTTTTTGTGTGTGCAGGGAACTTGTGGATGGTTTCTGAGCATTTCAGAGGCGCTGGCAGCCGAGTCACCACAAATCCAAAGCTGTCACCACACGTGGGAAAATATCTTTTCAACGCCGGGTGGTTTTTTTAACGCCGCGGCTCCGTCGGATCTGGGTCAGGCTGCCACGGGGGGCTGCTCTCTCCGGTGGGCTCGGGTCTCCTCCTCCCTTTCTTCGTTCCTTCCTCACTCAATGGCATAAATAATGCAGCTTTTTTTTTTCCCCTGGCCGCGCTATTTTTAGGGGCAGGATTCTGGGTTAGCTGAGCGCGCGATGCCGACGCCAGCTCCCGGCTGCTCGGCAGGCAGCTCGTTCCTGCTTTCCAAACTCCTTCAGCCACTGCTGGCTTTCCAAAACTTCCTGAACTGGTTTGGGGTCTTTTTTTTTTAATTTTTTTTTTTTTTTTTTATTATTACTTTTGTGGGAACCAGGTGTGTTTTTACATCCTGATCTCCGGTGGGCTTTCATTTCATTGAAAGAATTCCCATCAAATATACATCATTTTCTCAAAATATATTTCCTCAAAATATAAAAAAATGTACATTTTTTCCCCCTCAAATAATAAACAAATCAATTCATTAATTCAGTTCTAATTAGAGCCCTTCCAAGATCTCCTCCTTCAGCTCTTCACAGGCTGGGACTGGGTGGAAAGATTTCCATCCAGGGACAAATCACTCCATGCAAAGGTGCTGCCTTGGGTGGATTTTCCATGTCCACGAAGCTGAGGTCGGTGTCGGCTCTCCAGCAGCATCCCTGGAAGTCGATATTGTGTCGTATAAACCTGTCGGATCCTTATTTCCCCCTGGGATGTGTTTTTGCAGCTGGAAAGGGAGCAGCTCCGTGGGGAGCCACACCTGGAAAAGGAACAGCCGGACCAAAGGCAGCGCCCACCCTCGAGGAGCAGGACCTACCCCCGTGTCCAGCCCTTTTCCTGGCATTCCCAGCGCCTTTCCTGACATTCCCTGTGCCCTCTTGGCAGGCGCCTGATGACCCGGCTGGAGGACATGCGCCGCAGCGTGCTGGGGGACGGTGTCAACCGCTGCATCCTCTGCGGGGAGCAGCTGGGGACGAGGGGCTCCGCCTGTGTCGTCTGCGAGGACTGCAAGAAGGTGAGACCCCCCCTCCCCGGAGCCCCAAAAACCTCCCCCACCCTGCGGGCAGGGCGGATTTTGGGTGCCCGTTTCCATAGCCTGGCATCCCCGGAGTCACCGGTGGCTGTGCAGGAAAAGCTCCTCAGAGCCTGCTGCTGGTGTTGGGGACATTTTTGGTGGCACCGGTGTCACCCTGCTCTTCGTTTCGCCCGCAGAATGTGTGCACCAAGTGCGGCGTGCAGACCACCAACAACCGGCCCCAGGCCATCTGGCTCTGCAAGATCTGCAGCGAGCAGCGGGAGGTGCGTGTGGCCCCCTGTCCCCCTCCTGTCACCCCTGTGCCCTCCTGTCCTCCCTGTCACCCCTGTGCCCTCCTGTCCCCACCCCACACCTCCGAGATGGCACCGACTCAGCCTCCCTGGGGCCTCCAGCCTTGCCCAGCCCGCTGTTTGAGCGTGGCTCTTACAGGATGTTTGCTACACAAAATGATGTTTTATTTCACGAAAACAAAGGTTTGTGGGGTTGTTGTGCTGGGCAGAGATTGCTGCATCTCGAGCCAGGGAGTTAATTGATTCATTAATTCGCGGGATGGGCAGCAGGGCGGGGATGTGGGGTCGCACTGAGGAGGACCGCGGTGGGATGGATGAAGCTCTGAGAGCCCCGGCGCTGCTCCCGCAGGTGTGGAAACGCTCCGGTGCCTGGTTCTTCAAGGGTTTGCCCAAGCAGATGCTGCCGCAGCCGATGCCCATCAGCAAGAAGGGACCCCAAACCCCGAG